AGAGTGAAAAATTTAAAGGGGTCTGAATACTTTCCGTACCCACTGTATATATATATATATATAAATAGATATTCAGCATTTTTAATGTAGGTAGATCATTTTGACTCGGTCATTTTAAAAGTAGCTCGCAAGCCGAAAAAAGTGTGGGCACCCCTGGTGGAGATTATTGTTTTTTTTTACCTAGCTTTGTTTTTTTAACACTCAACGGCTGAAGGAGGAGAAACGGATTTGTGAGTTGGGATTTAACCGTGGGATTAAACTCTTTGTCAACAAAGAAAGGAGGATGGAGTTTGTCTTTAAGTGAACAGCATTTGGTAAGAACCTTCTGGACCCTAGCCCTATTTTTAGGCCTCTGCTCGAAAATTGCATACCCATACTAAAAAGAGTGTATTTCTGCATGTACAAGGTCTATTTGAATAATATTGATGTTATAATAAAGGTAACACTTGTGAGATTTGTTCAGAGGTGTAAATATCAGTGTATATGTTACTGGTGAAGAGTAAATGAACATGGCACACAGCTCAAATTGAAAAGTTTCAGGTTCGCCTGAAAAAAAAGCACTGAAAGCATTATCTCTTTTGAATGATGCTAACGAAATTATTAAAACTGTCCCAAATTATAGCACAACATGTGAACAGTCTCTCTGCAAATATTGACTTTGATAAAGTGAAGCAGAACAAAATTAGTGAGGTTTTAGTACAGAGAGGTGAACCAAATTAAAATTTTGGAACCAGCTGTTCCATTGTAATTTTATAAACTATATAACTATAAATTTCACTTGTTTTATCACTAATAGTGTTCAATCTATCCAAATACAGCAGTTTGGCATCATTTTGAGAGCCTGAATCCTCTCTGAGTCTGTTTCTGTCTGTCATCCATGGGATTTTCTCGTCTGAATTTTAGTTTCCCTGTGTGTATGTGAGGCTATCTCAGCCGATGATTGGTCAATTTCAGTCAATGAACCCTCCTTCCACGCGTCAGAGTCCATACAATTGAGTGGGGTTAACGTGCGATTGATTGACAGAATCGTTAGCCAGTCAGAATCAAAACCGCGCCATCCCTCGCGGAACGTATAATTCCATTCGCTGAAAGTCAAATCCCTACCCCCACCTCCCCTAAGTTAGGTAGACCCCCCTTTCTTCAGGAAACAGTTCAGAGACACAACAGGATATACGTCGAATACATTCGATTCGAAATAAGCGAGGATTTATCCGTTCTCTTCACGAAATCAGCTCACGGTAAGGTGCAGTTATGATTTTTAGCGGTGAAGCGGTTTGTTGTTCTAGTGCTTGTTTGCTCACAGCTCTGTAATGGTTTCACGGTGAGAAATTCTGAAGATATCTTTGGAATCTGTGTGTTATTGGCGTGCTTTCTGCTATTTCGGTTCCGTGTTAGCCTTTAGCTTCTTCTTCTTAGCGCCTACCGGAGTGCGTGGTCGGCTCAGCAATGGCGAAAAAAGAGTGATATTGTGGTAATTGTTTTAGATGGTTATATTAGTCATGTAGAATTGTGTTTGGAGTGTGTAAAATGGCTTGCAGGATATTGTTACCCAGAATCTCTTCTTTAACTGGGTATATAACATGTGTGAAACATTCATTGTTTTCGTTCCTGAGAAGTGCATTGTACGACATGCTGTACGCTAAACTTTCTCCGTAGCCCCGGAGTGTGAGAAGACTGCGTTTTTTGTTTTTTACATCTAATATTTGAATGGCCCTTGAGTGTGTAGCAGAACCACTGCAGGTCTGCTGGATTGATTTGTCATGCTTTGTTGTCATATGAATATATGTGACTGGTTCTTGTGAGTTTGTTGTTGTCATTGTGTTAATTATATTGATTTGGACTATATGCATTGTCCGTTAATTACGAAGCATACCGTCATGCGCTGAGTTATTGTTTGTTAAGCTAGTTTAGCGTAGCCTCCCAGAAATGCGGTGCCTCAGCTGTCTTTTGTTTTTGTTTTTTTTGTTCTGGGTTCAGAGGTCAAAACCCGTTGTCTCCTAGGTGAGCGCAGTCCACCTAAAACATTATATTTCTCACAATTTAAGCTTCTGCATTTTCCAAATGCACTGGTATTATTCAACGTATTGTTCGGTTTGTAAGCCTCGTACCGAACGGTTTAATATGAATATGTGTATTGTTAAACCCCTAGAAACAAATAACCATAGCTTGCACGTCATAATGAGATTATTAGGTGGTGTTTCAGCTGCAGGACAGCACTGAAGGCCCAGGTATAAAATGCACGGCCCACCACTGAATTTTCCATCCATAAGATGTTGTCTGTCTCCCGTCTGCCTGATTCCATCGAATGCAGCATAACATCAGCTCCTTTCATCTTAAATTCATCAGCAAAATTTGGAAAGACTATACCATTTTTTGAAGAATAACCTACAACATAATTTTCAGAAATGAATGTTGACAATGTTTAATGAAAGTGTTAAAATAAAAGCAAATTCACACTCCTGTTCTCTGTATAAAGTAAAGAACACAGATCTTTACTTTCTGCCTTGGTACATAAAGTACACAATATGTCCTGCATTGACACCAAGCAATGCCACTGGACATAAATCCTGAGATGTGTAATTGTGGTCATCTCTGAAATGTTGCTATCAGAAAAACAGACAGCTGACCACAAACAGAAAATAATTATAGAGATTTTGCCGTTGATGGTTTGATAAATGTAAGGGATATTGCTTACCTCCAGGTCGGAGACCCATGTGCTGCTGCCCATCAAGAACAAAGCCTCCCATTGGCTGGCCATCTGGACTGTAAGTTGTACCCTGACTCACTGTGAGCGTAGAGGAGAAGCAAGATTGTCAGAGTGAGCAACCCAGAGTTCTACAATCACTCTGCTTCACACCCAAACATGCTGCACACAAAGCCACCTCTTCATTCTAGAGCTCCTTCATGCAATCAATTCTCCAAAAGCCTTAAGGCTGACTTGTCTGATACATAATCTGTCTCACTTTACATACTGTGTGTAAATCCTGTCGTCCACTCTGTAGCCAGTGGAGTGATATCACTAAGACACCATAGTTTGCATTTAGTTTCAACTGATCAGTCAAGAATGGAAGGTAGTATTTAGTACATTGAACACTGAATGAACTGCAGCTTTACCTGTTCTGTTGGACTGGTCAATCATTGGTTGGACTATTCTTCTCCTTGCATTGATGAACCTGGAAAAAAGAGCAATATTATGTGAACTATTTGATAAACAGGGGAAGAGTCACTACATATTGAATGGAGCTAAAGCATTCAAAAATGAATTATTAAAAGCTTCCACATTACCAAAATCAACATGTTTTAATGTTCAGCATTCCTGACCCTGGAACACTTACATATGATAAAATATAAACTCAAGGGGTCACTTTGCACTCTGCTTTTTTTCCGGACGTTTGACAGTATTCCACTGCCTTTTTTCGTGAATGGACTTTGCTCAGGTGTCATCCTGTGAACCTTAGTATGGAACTTTGGTGACATGAGTAAGTTAAAGTCACTAAATAATCCATGAAGCAAGTAAGTAAATTTTGAGTTTAAATCTACATAACTATGTCACCAGGGGACTATAATCCCATACAAGGGCTGGGTAAACGCATTGAACAAATCAACAACTGGATGTGCCACAATTTTCTTCAATTAAACAAAGATAAAACAGAAGTAATTGTTTTTGGTTCCAAGGACAAACGATTGAAAGTCAGCACTCAGCTTCAATCACTGATGTTAAAACCCACAAACCAAGCCAGAAATCTAGGTGTAGTTATGGATTCAGAACTCAACCTGAACAGCCTCATCAAGACAACTACAAAATCAGCCTACTATCACCTGAAGAATATTTCAAGGATTAGAGGATTTATGTCTCAACAGGATTTGGAAAAACTTGTCCATGCATTTATCTTCAGTAGACTGGACTACTGTAACGGTGTGTTTACAGGTCTCTGTAAAAAGTCAGTCAGAAAGCTGCAGCTCGAGTCCTCACTAAGACCAAGAAAGTGGATCACATCACTCCAGTTCTGAGGTCTTTGCACTGGCTTCCTGTCCAACAAAGACTTGACTTTAAAATCCTGCTGTTGGTTTATAAAGCACTGAATGGTTTAGGGCCAAAACACATCTCTGATCTGCTGCTACCTTATGAACCATCCCGACCCCTTAGGTCATCTGGAACCGGTCTACTTTCTGTTCCCAGAGTCAGAACTAAACATGGAGAAGCAGCGTTCAGTTGTTCTGCTCCACATATCTGGACCAAAGTCCAGAAAGCTGCAGGTCTGCTGAGACCCTCAGCTCCTTCAAGTCAAGATTGAAGACTTTTCTGTTTGCTGCTGCCTTTAATTCAACCACATTATTAATCAATTTCCTGCATTTCTGCATTTTACTACTGTATTTTATTTCTTACACTGCTTTTTAATGTTTTAATAACTGTTTTTAATGTTTCAATGAATGTTCTTAATTGTTTTTAAATCTCCTTTTGTTTTGCCTTATGTTTTGATGCTTTTAATGGTTTTATGTGAAGCACTTTGAATTACCTTGTTGTTGAAATGTGCTATACTAATAAACTAGCCTTACCTTCACAGTGCAAACAGTTCTTATATCTTAAATCTATTTTGTGCAGATTATGTTAACGAAATCAGCTGGATCATTAGTAAAATTAGTAAAAACACAGATCCCAAATGTTTTGAAATGAATAAAGAAAAAGACCCAGCATTAACAAAAAATGGCAATTGCTCTGGACTTCTTTTTCAAAACTGGAACACCGCTGTGTGTCTCCAAGGATTTGACTAGTCATATAGTTTATTCCTATTGGCATAATCTGTGGTATTAGAGAAAGTCTTATCTTTAAAAATGTATTGATTTGGGTATAGCCTTGCAGCCTTAGGCTGTGATGAAGCTAACTGCTTTACCAATGTTATGCTATAGATACATTCAAGAAACAGACAGTATAGTGAGTGCATGCCTTGATATCTGTTTTGGATAAAGCCCGTGGTCGCCTTTACTCCTGGATTAGAGGTTGGCGAAAGCAAACTCTTTGGTGGATTTTAGAAGAGAGTGGCGAAGCAATGTCATCTCAATTAATCCAAATTTGAATCCTGCACTGGCTGCCAGTAAAATGATGACATGCAGAAATGTATCGTCTGGATACATCATCTTTAACCCCTTGAACCCTCAGCTGCTTTTCCACAGTTTATATTCCCTTTATTCAGAGGCCTGTAGTCACTTCATGTCTTAGCCAAGCATGCCATAAATTGTTATTTTCAGGATAAGGTAGGTGTGTTTTCAGTGAATTTAGCATGTCAGTGGTACTTTACATGTTCTAGGACAGTTTAGTTTAGTAATATGTAATTTGGCTTAAATTATAGGGAAATAGATACACTGTTTAATTGGTGCACTTGCAATAAATTCAGTTTAAAAAATTGGCAGTGTAAAATAGAGAGTTGTTTTTCTCAGTGCACTGCAACTAAACATAGAACAATTTGAAATGTACAGACAGACACACGATACAAGATACAATAAGGATACAGTGTAACAATGAATGAATATTTACTTGGATTTGATATGTATAAACTCAACACAATCTAAAACTAAATATATAACCCTGATAAGGATTACAGACCTGTAATATTAAGTGTTACCAACATTTCCAAACAAGGTTTTATATTTTTACAATATCACCATAGCTACTTAGGACTCAGCATATCTTTTGATGATGTTTAAGCAGCTGTTTGGACTTTTATTTGTGATGGCCATCAGAGATACCCCTACTGCTGGAAGAAGAGTAAGTCACACTAAATCCGACAATATGTGTATGACAGCTGTGTGTTTTGGTTTGACTAAATTACAACTTTATTACTCACAGTCAAGACTGAGGTGAAGATACAATATGTATTCTAAAGTCAAATGTATTTATAAAATGCATTTCGCAAATCAAAGATTCAGATTGTGTGTGCATTTGTGAGTAGATTCCAATCTGGCGTTAAAGTGACTTACCAGTTGTTCACTTGAAGGATGGTGAGGCCTGTGTCTTGTGCTAGCTGCTTTTTCTGCTCCTCTGAGGGGTATGGATGCTGTGAGTGACACAAAGATCAGAAAGCATTCAATAAATACAAATAGGTCAAATTAACGGAAAGGCTTAAGCCAAAAACAGCTTGCAATTATCCGTAGTCATATAGTGCAGGCTCTTGTACTTCAAGAAAGAAGTTCCACTCAGGAAGTACAATCATATTCTGTGGCAGTCTCTCCTGTGTATTCCTGGAAGCAAGTGCACAAGTTGGCTCTGGAAAAACAGAGGCTGACCAGAGTTTGGCCCCCCGAACACTTCATGTTAAAAGCGCGTGCCATTGTGTGACAGTATTTGACATTATTTTACATTGCTTGACAAATGATCGGGTGGGATATAAAGAGGCACAATGGTGGCTTTTGTTTGAGGCCCCGATAAGGTTAGGCCCCCTGTCACCCCCCAACCCCTCCCTGCCTTGCTCCTTCGGCCCTGATCCCTTCGCTGGTTTTGTGTGTGTGTGTTTGTGAGACAGTGGGAGGAGGACGGCAGATGGTAGACAGAGGTGATCCTTGTACTGAGAGCAGGGTCGCGGGCCAGTCCCCATTCTGCTGCTGTCAGGCCAGCAGCCATCTCCTGTGGATATCGGTGAAGGATGAGCTTCCAAGCACCTCATTTTTTAACTGCCTTTCAGGTCTAGTACACACACACACATGCATAGGTCATTACACTTGCATATGCAGACACGTGGAAATGTGCATTAATACAAACACAAGCTTGAACAAAAGCTTACAAATGCAATTACACATGCACTGTAGTACACAGCAGGGATTCCTAACCAGGGCCATCAGCTTCATTCTACTAAGGATTCATAAGTCACAAAGGTTGTGGACCACTACCACTACTACTACTATACAGTACCAACACATGCACATACACATATGTAAACACACACAAACAGAAAAATACGCATATAACAATTAGTATAAACAGGCACAAAAATGGACACTTAAGACACACAAACATCTGTACTGAGGTTGTATTTTGGAGCAACTTGAAGCACACCTCCCAGCTTGGTGGCTGAAAGTCAAGTGACAAATTACTCTTAACTCCGCCCTCAAATCAAAGCTCTTTCTCTGCCTCTCTCTCTCTTTCTTTCTTTCTTTCTCTCTCTCTCTCTCTCTCTC